GAGCTGTTATTGGGCAAGGGAGCATCTTTTCTTCCTTCTGCTGAGAGTAACGTAGTGTCACTTCCTGTTTATCAATTTTCACACAAGTTAGGAAAAGGTGCCCCCACTGGTGCAGGGCTCGGCCAGTGAACTGATCCTTGTTGGTAGAAAAAGACACCCCTTCCTCTGGGGTAATCACATCCCCTCCTTCAAGGTCCATCACTTGGAGGGGCGATCCCAGCCCCCATTCACTTCAGTCAGGTGCCCTGAGCAAGGCACACGCCACATAACTCCATGCAGCGGCCGTCTTTGGACTAGTAATAGCAAAACAAGAAACCCACTGCTCTCCCACCTCCCACTCTGGGCAAAATCCCAAACCCCCAGATAAAATAACATCAGAATCTACTGCTTCTCACCTGAAACTTCTATTTCAGTGCTACTAAGGTGTGCTCTACAGACCAGTGTCACATTGCAAACTTTTTGTTGCCAGACTGCAAGGATATATACAGAGATTGAAAGGAAATGTTTAAAACCTTTTATAGCAATTTGATCTTGGTGCAACCTTTTAATTGTACTTTACAAAAGTGCCAGTCTGCAAGGGATTGAAAATTTTAAATACTTATCCATCACCACGGATAGTTTTAAAAGCACTACTCCGCCACACTTTTTGAAGGGAAAATGCCCTTTTACATCCTGCTCTAAAAAGAGAATCACCCATTTGTCTTTTTCCTGTGCAGTGCGTAGAGTATCTTTCAATCTGCTTGCACTTATAAAGACACACAGTAGGGACCGCTGAAAATGCAGCCACTCATAGAACTGGTGATGTCCCAGCACATTGAACTGGTCCATTACTACCTTGTGAAATAGAAACCAAGTGGGAAAATTAATGTTTCTCATTTGCCATTTGCTGATTAATGAACATAGATCAAATATATACCAGCACTGAGTATTTCTTTTACTCTATCCAGCATGATTAATTATAGCTAAATTAGGTAGCTTCTGATAAGAGAGATAAAGGTGCATTTCTTATTTTCCTACGACGATATATTTTATTACAAACATAATTTTCACCACTTGTCATCTCACCTCTGCTCCTTTTTTAAGGGAGTCATAAATGTGTCTACTTGCAATCACATAATGCAAGTTCCAGAATATTCAAGCAGCTTCTCAGGTCTTCGCCCAGCGGTCAGTGTGTACCAGATGCTTCTCTTCGCCTGGCCCTGGGGTCCTTCACCATGAAGCTCAGTCCAAAAGGGAAGCCCGCCGCCAAAGGAAGTCTGCGTACAGTGGACGAAAGCTGCAACTTGACAGGTGCTGAAGGCAGTTCCTGGGTTGCTTCCCTATTTTGTCTTTGGGGATGGCAGTGGTAACAAGAAATTGGGCTGGGAAAGTCTCAGAGTTTTGTGCTTGTCCTTATAAATTTGTTGATGTATGATAAGGCACAATCGAGTAAAGTTATACGCCATCCACGAAGCATTCGAGCGTTACTGACTTGACCTCATTCCACCTTTTCAAACATGTGGGTGAGCAAAAAAAAAAAAAAAAAAGTAAAATGCTCTGCTGATACTCAGTTTTAAGTACTGTTCTCTATTTGGTTCCATCGAGACGTTCTGTCCGAGATTAGGAAAAGAAAATATCCTTTGTTTACAATTAGGCTATTTCGATGGGAAAATATTTCCTTACTTCCGGAATGCTTCCTAGAACACATTCCTAGTTTAAATAAACCACTCATACGGACATGGGTATTACAACCCATCTAGACTAAGCTGAAAATACTTAAAGCAAGCATTATTTTTAATTTTAAGAAAGTCTCTTGACTAAACTTTCCAAGAATTATTACAAATAAGTGACCCTGGTGGCCGTAAAACGAGGTAAATAGCAATCTAAGACCTGATCATACTGACTGTGAGGACCAATAAATCAACTATATACAGAAACTTGGGTTTTTAAACAGAGAATGTTTTTTGCCCAGAGGCGCCAGGTAGGGATATAACTTCACTATCCCACGTGAGGCTCTGCACCACGCTCGTCCCATACAGAGAACTCATTTCTGCAAACACATTCTGTGATCTTTACGTGCAGACGCATGGCTAACCTGTTGACTGTGTTACATCTCACTGTGGTCTAGGGGTTATTGAATATGTGAGTGAGCGATCTTTCCGTTACTGATAAACCATGTTGCTGTTAAGCATCAATATCACCCAGATAAGCTTTCATTTTCTTGGCATCCAGGAGTATGACAGGATTAAAACCAAAGTGAATTAAGGGAAGACTCAACTATTTTCACCAAATAACACAGAAGTGACTGTAAAACTTGGGCCCACTTAATTTTGTGTCTAAGTATAAAACAAACTGGACAAAAACAGAATTCAAAGAAAGCTGAATGGCTATACAGAAAAGTACACCTAAATATAATCATTACTAAGGTAATGCATCAATAATCAAATTGCGACAAGCAACCCAGTAGACTGTCAAGATTTTACATCCATAAAACTATAGATGATATTTTAAAATTTTACGTAGTAATGAGTCTTAAGCAATGAAGAATCACACAACTTTAGGAACATGCTATTTGAAGAAAACTAAAATGACTGAATTAGTCATCCCTTTATTCATATCTGTATAGGTTTTAACGTATCAGGTTAGTTATCAATCTAAAAACATTTACCTTCTTTAACATTGACTTCCCAATATTTTCAGAGTACTCAGTTTTCCTCCCCAAGACCAGCTTGGACAAAATTCAACTAGTCTTTCTCTGACCTCACTAAAATATGAGAAAAATCACCTGATATATAGCAATAACAAATATTTCCATCCAAGATTCATTTGCAGGAAAGTCCTTGGAAAATCCACTTGCCTGGCCCATGATCTGGGCTCTTCCTGCACTAGCTTGGTTTGGGCCTCTATACACTAGAGAAGGCCCTGGGGTTTTCCTTGGCTCCCCCATGGTGGAAATGGCATCGGTTTAAGACTGTGAAGGCCCACATCCAAAAAGCTGGTCACCAAGGTGGCCCTGAATTAACATAGTCTCTTGGGAGAACCTTTCAAATTAGTGTTTCTAGGAGAAACCAGAAGCCACCTGTGGTTGTTTCTTTATTTTGCAGGTGAAGTAAAACATGATTTGCCTGGTCCATTCAGTCACCTAACCAAACCTCCTTTACATTGGACATCAGATTAGGAGGGTGTGATATAAAGAGAATGTGCAAAGTAAAAGAACTCCAGGTACCAGGTGTGGGAATTAAACTTGCCTCCTATCAAAAAAGTCTGTCTTGAAGATAAATGTTCTGAGGATGGATGGTGGCATTGGTTGCACAACAATGTGAATGTGCTTAATGCTACTGAACTGTATATTTAAAAATGGTTAAAATGGTAAACTTTAGGATACATATATTTTACCACAATAAGAAAAATCAGTCTTATACTAACATTCATACAACCCCTCAGTATGGACACATATACCCCAATTTAAGAGAGAAATATTTTAAAATCAGAAAAAGACAAGGGCTTATGTTTTCATTTTTGCTATAATTCTCTCATCATTTGAAACATAAAGGTTAGAAAGACGTTAAATATTGGCATCACAGGAAATTCACCTCCAATTTATTGGTGGCTTTTAAAAGGGGTGTTCATTTATATGTAGCTCCTTCTAATTAGTTTGTTACATTCAATATACAACTGAATTAAAAACAAACACAACAAAAACACCCAATACCTCCTCCCTTAAAATTTCCTATTCTGATGCCTTCTCAAAACATGGCAACTATTTAAAGGTCTTCTTTACTTTTTACTTTCATTGTATTGAATTGTCCTTTCCCCCCACACACACACAATTTGGTCTTGCTCCTCTATTTAAACAATTCCTACCCCATTCTGCCCTGTCCCCCAACACACAGTTAAGGTGAAACATAAGGTGTTGATCTGCCACAGAGCCATAGGCTGCCAATCCCTGTGAGGATTCTTCCTTTTAATCCTGGATTGATGTGGAACTGATGACACTGGGTAAGGAGATGCAAGGCAAGTGGTAATATACAAATGCCAGGTAGGTACCTGGACAGCCCCATTGGAGTCAGAAGTCGGGAGCAGCAATTTCAGGCATATCAGCCACAGCAGGGTGCTGCAGGCTGTCATCATGTCTGCTTGTGAACACAAAGGGTAGAATTCATTTTTCTGGGTCACAGTAATACATCCAGGGGATAACTTCCAACAAGTCAATTAACTGACAGGGGTTATGCACAACCACAGATGCTTCCAAGCAGGAAAGGCCTGTAGAGATCTATCAAAAATGGTGTAGGTGCCTGACCACTGCAGTGTACACCTGAAGCTGAAGCTGAGTAATAATGAATGTCAACTACAATTTTATATATATATATATATATATATNCACAGGATGTGGAGTACAGCATAGGGAATAGGGTCAATGGAATTGTAACAGCTATATACAATGTCAGAGGGGTAGTAGATTGGGGGAGGGGGGTTATCACTTTGTAACTATTACATTAGTTAATTATTACATTACTGAAACTAATAAAAATACAATGAGATAGATCTATATGTAATCTTAGGGAAAATGTTAATATTATAACATACTGTTAAGCGAGTAAAGCATTTTGCATGGAAAAAGAAAGAAAAAAAAAAGGAACGCCCATTTTGTGTGGCTCTCAAAATAACACAAAGCCCCTTGGTCCGAGCTCATGACGCCCCAGGCAGAAAACAAAGTGACAGCAGGCACAGCACAAGGCACGACTGGGGGTCTGGCTAATGCAGTACATACAGGTGATTATCCCCGTTACAAAAGAGTCAAATGTGGGCCGGCCAAGTGGCACACTGGTTAAGAGCTGGCTTGGGATGCCAGAGGGCCCCGGTTCGGATCCCACATATGAGGTCGCCCGGGAAGAGCGCAATGATGGTGCCAACTTGGGCCAGTGAAGCAACGTCCTCCACAACTAGACTGAAGAACAAAACAACAGCAATTTGTCTGGTCCCCTTCCCCCAATTCCCCAGCGCTGTTCCCATCCCCCAATTCCCCAATAAAAATCTTTTAAAAAAAAAAGTTGCATGTGATTTTCACATACCACAGCATCTGACATACCTTTTTTATTTATAGTATGAACGATATGAAACTGTGAGAAAACGTCAGCTCGATCACGTTCAGGAAGCCACTCTTAGAAGGGATTTGCAATCTTGAAGTAGTATATCATTAGCCAAGATTTTAAAAGTTATTTTGTATTTATTGAAATTCACAACAGACTAGCAAAGTACCTCTGAAATAAAGGTTACCAAAATAAACCAGAAAAGTATTTCCAAAATAAAGATGACCATAAGTAGTTCGCCTGAGTATATGAGCGGTCCATGGTTGCTGTAACACATTACCACAAACCTAGCGACTTAAACAACACAAATGTATTATCTTACAGTTCTGGAGGTCAGAAGTCCAACATGGGTCTCGCTGGGCTAATATCAGGCACCAGCAGGGCCGAGTGCCCTCCTGGAGGCCCTAGGGGAGAATCTGTTCCCTTGCTTTTTGCAGCTCCCAGAGGCCTCTCACATTCCTCAGCCCATGACTCCTACCTCCACCTCCACCACCAGCTTGTTGCACCTCCTTCTGACTGTCCTCCCAGATTTCTCATTTCCCTCGGACTCTGACACTCTTCCAGTCCCCTCTTCCATTTTTAAGGACCCTTGTGAATACCAGTTAAACCCAGAATTATCTCCCTATTTCAAGGTCAGTGGATTAGTACCTTAACTCCACCTGCATCCTTCTCCTTTTCCATTCAACCCAACGTATTCACAGGTTTTGGGGGTCAGGATGCAACATCTTTGCAGGAAGGAGGGGCATGGTTCTATCTACCACACATTAAATACACATCTAACTACACCATGGTGTAATATTTTCATGACAGTTCAATAATTGTCATTCAGGTGCCTTAATCTACAGAATTTATCTTTTTTATCTACATAAAATGTATTAACCTGGCCAGATGCTACAGTAACAAAAAAGGTAAAGAGATATAAAACAAATTGTACAACATTACAAAGTAGTGGTTATTTGTGTATATGTGTGTATCTATGTATATATGTATATATAAAACTATACATATGGGTAGGTGTGAGTGTGTGTATATAGATATATATATATATATATATACACATATACACACACATATACACACACATCATTTTATAGTTAATCAAGTGGTTCTAGAAAATCAATATGCCATAGAAATTCCTGGGAAGGTAATGCTTGTAAAAAACAAGGCCAAGTTTATGAGGCTCCAAAATCAACCAAAGACAAGAAATAAAAAATGTAAAAGTTAGAGACAAAGAAATTCACTCTTTCTAGGTTAGTCCTTTTCCCTACTCATTTTCTTTTCTATTTTTTCTGTTGTAGTTCTTGTCCAAATGAAACGTTTTTGTCCAAATGAAACGGTCTTGTGCCCTTAATGGCCCGCCATGTGTGAAGTGACCACAGCCCTCAGGAACAAGGTCAAACCACCACCTCACACATCTATTAGTGCAACTGCTTTGGAGGAAATCACTGACAAATAAAGCAAAGTCCTGTGTGCACTGTTGCATCCAGTGTACCTGTAATTCCAGAGAAGGTCCTAACTCCTTCGGTGGCTACGACACTAGCTTTGGTTTTTCAGAAACACTTTACTTGCCAGCGTGACTGCTGTCATTGGCAGGTGCCCAGTCCACGCCAGACTTAAAAGACGGGAATGTGGTAGTGGAGGTCGTCCTCGGTCAGCAGGGAGATCTCCGGCCAGTCCCGGAGCGGTTCCTCTGGGTAGCAGACTTCAAAGTCCCTGGAGTTAAACTTGAACAGTCTGAGCACTTTGATCTTGACTTCAAGGGCATACCCAAGGATAAACATATCAATCTGGGGACGAGACGAAAAAGAGGTCACATACACATTTCTAAGTGCCAGCCCTCCCACCAGCAGAGGGAGCATGTTCTCCAGCAGCTCGTAAAACCATGTAATTGTTTACAGACCCACGCATGAGCCACCGAGTGGGCAGTGTCAGGAACAAGTGTTATGGCATGGAAGGCAGGGGACAAGCGAAACAGCATCTCTCTAGACCAGCATGAAGACATCACAGGAAAAAAGTGTTTGGAGGAAAACACTAATCAAAAGTAAAGAAATGCTCATAATAAAAATCACACTGTTTTCCAATCAGTTTTATATTATTTTAAATCAATTTGTGTAAAGAGGTCAGATGATTTTGTGCACTTCCTAGGAAAGCAAAACAAAACAATACCCCTTTTCTATGGGGGACAGAAAAGCATTTTCTGGAATTAAAAACATTCCATAATTTCTATGTATCTGCAGGAAGGAACCAAATGCTTTCCAAAACGTTCACTCATTTTCCAATGGGACTTTGTCCTGATTAACCTCCGTTGTGGGAGAGTCTATTATCAACTGGGAAGCAGCGTGCAAGGTCAGAAAGGCCCTCAGCACTGGCATTCTCCAGCCACGGGGCTGGAAAGACACAGCAGCCAGCTTGGGGCGTGAGGCTTGATTTTTTTCCCTCATTTGAGGGGTGACAGAATCAACCCGCCATCTCTGAGCAGCTGGTCTTATCACCACGGAGAGCGAACGCCAAACCCCTACGTGTTCATGGATTGCCAATATCGTCCTTAATGAAACACACACAATTCTCCCACCCCCGGTACCTGCTCTAGTCCACATGTGTCGCCTACAGAATTGAGGTGATTCATCATGAAGCTCAAAGGATCAGCTGATGTTTCCCGGGAAAACAAGAGTCTAAAAAGACTAGGGATGGCCTTTTTCATCTTCATTTGTTCATAAACTTCGGTAACTTGATACAGCATGATGAACTTTAAAGCTTCGTACAGTTTATATTCCAGGATGGCATCAGAGAAAAGGAAGTTGCACATACTTCCTCTCTTGTGATAATCTTTAATTCCACTGAAGTCAGTCCACTAAAAACCCAGATGTAAAAGGGAAATTTAGAAGGGCAAAGGTGAACACATATGCCACTCATAATTTTTAAATTATTTATAAAATAAACCAGAGATTTATGGAGGGGAATGGAACGTTCATTTTTAATGTTATATCTTTTGACACTGATTTTTTAACCATAAATATATATCACTTTTACAGTAACAAACTAGTGCCAATGAAATATTTTTTTTCCAAAAAGCACCACCTCCTAAATAAAATACCAAGCAAGTCAGTTTCCTAACACTGCTTAAGACAGCTGAGTTACACAAAGGCACACCCCAGCTACTGTTCCTTAACTTCCTGCCACGCACAGATTAAAGCACTCTACGTGTATTATTCTCACACCTGACTCCTCACAATAACCGTACAGGGTACACACGAGTTATATTTCAGTTTTACAGTTAAGAGAGGTTATGGTTTCCCGAGAAGGATTCATTCCAATAACCCAAAATCCGCGTCTCAATTAAAGACAGGAAGAAGTCTGAGTCAGATTATAACATGGATGCTGCCCCCCTGGTTAACAGGGCGTGTTTTGGAAGGTCGTTTCTGAGAGCCTCATCTGGCACTGGTACCACATTTTTCTGGGGAAACAAAGGTATGTGATTGTTCAGGTTTCCTGGCCAGTCCACATGGGGCTCCTTAGCCCATAACGGGCCTGTCAGGGAGAAAACTGATCCAGTTCATTACTTGAAAGGAGAAGACATCATCAGTTACCAGAAGCTGCACTGCTGCCTGCGTTTCCTACCCACCTAACAAAGTGCTACGCCTGACATCAGACAAAAGTGGCTCTGGTTGGGATGGATGCTTTCATTCATTCCCAGTCTTTTACCACCATCCTCCCCCAAACACTCACCTGCGTTTTCAATAATTCCACACATTTACGTAATTTTCCAAACACATTTGAGCCTGTGTACTTCTCAGGACCAAAACTGTACTGTTGGAGCCAATTACAACCTTGTGAAAAGAGCAGTTTTTCAGGAAGCTTGAAAAGGAAGAAGACGCCAACAACGATTAGTATCTCCACATTTATTACACACAATTTGAAATGTGTCACAGTATATAATCTCATTTCACTTAGCGCTCTTCATCTAAAAAGCCTATAAGAGCAGTTAAGGAAACACAGTCTTTCTTTTTTTTTTTTAGATTTGTGGATTCAGTGATTTGGATCATTTAATTCATAATGTCACAACTGATGAAAACTTAAATATAAGATTAAGTCTACAGAAATGATCTTTTTGGACAAAACATTTCCCAAACTTCCTAGATGTGTCCCTTTAGAAATTATTTTTAACCAAACAGGGTTAGAGCAAAATAGCACAGCTGGGAACGCATGGATTTTAGGATGATGTACTTTGGATTCAAAGCCAGCCCTGTCACTCACCAGCTGGGAAACTACTCAAGCAGCTGATTATTTAACCTCCTAGCCTCATCCTCCACTGAAAATCAGGGCCAATACTATCTATCCATCTTAAGGACTCTTGTGGGATAAAATGAGATTATAAGAGATGTAAGGATCTGATGCAGTGCATTTCCCACCCAGTTCAGCTCATGGAGCCCAGGGTCCCGGTTGAGTTCTGTCCTCAGCAACAAGCAAGGCTAGCACACCGTACATGTGACAAGTATTTGCTAGATGAAATGAAACTAACAAAAACAACTCTAAATAAAACATGTTAAAGGAATAGAACATGTGCGGCTATGCATATACACATAGTTTATATATCTTTGCTCCTCTATCCTTAGATGGATGTCCTAGATTACGCACGTTGCATTCAAATGAAAAATTCAGGCTATTCATCAAGAAGGTATTGCCTTAGACTGTTAAGAAAATGAAAAAACAAGACCCAGACTGCCAGAAGATATGTGCAGATCACATATCTCATTTGAAAGCATTTGCATTCAAAATATATAAAGAACTCTCAAAACGCAATAATTAAAGCAACAAAAAACCCAATAAAATGGGCAAAACACTGGAACAGCCACTTCTCCAAGCAGATAATATGGATGGCGAATAAACTCAACATCCTTACTCATCAGGGGAATGCAAACCAAAAGCACAACGATCCTAATACACATCTATCAGTATGGCTGAAACAAACAAAATAATAAACAAACGAAAACCTTGACAATACCAAGTGCTGGTGAGAATGTGGAGCAACTGGAATGCTTAGAAATTACTGGTAGGCATGTAAAATGGCACAGCCACTTTGGAAAACGGTTTGGTAGGCTCTTATAAAGTTAAACATACACCTACCAGATGACCCAGCAATGTCGCTCCTGAGTATTTACCCAAAAGGAATGAAAACTTGGGTTCATACAGATTCCTGCAGGGGAATACTGATCACAGCTTTATTCAACTGCAAACAACCCAGGTGTCCTCCAACTGGTGAGTGGATAAGCAAACTGTCACATTCACATTGAGGAACACCACTCAACAGCACAAAGGCAGGAACCACAAATTCACAGAAGCACCTGGACAAATTGCAAACGCGTGGTGCTAACTAAGGGAAAGGCGTCGATTCAAAAGGCTACATACTGGATGAGCCCATTGATATGACATTCCGGAAAAGGCAAAACTACAGGGACAGAAGACAGATCAGTGGTTGCCAGGGGCTGGAGGGTGAGAGGAGGACTGACTATAAAGGGAAACTAGGGGTCTTTGGGCAGTAGTTACACACGGTATGTGTTTGTCAGAACTCAAGTAACTACAGTAGACAAGTGAATCTTAGTAGACAACCATACTTATTATAAAGGACAGATGCTCTTCTCAAGAAAAGATGGTGGCATTAAAAGCAAACAAAACAGTATGACTATCCTTCTGAGATGGTTTATTTGCAAACTGACATGAGAGACAGAGGACCTGGTCAAAGGAGCTCTTGGAGTTCCTTCAGTCTCAGGACGCCCATAGAAGACCCAAAGCATCTGTGTCACCATTATCATCAGGTGAAATTTTGTATATTTCCAGTGTGATGACATACCTTAACAATGTCTTTATCTTTCATCCAAGACGGAAAAGAGAGGCCGTGGCTGAATATCTGAAACAATACCGATCTGAGTGCATCGTAGTTGTCTCTCTTTACTTGTCGAACGCATTTAATATGACGCCGCCAAAACAGCTCCTCATAAGCCTATGAGCACAAAAAGAGGAACTTGTTTTCTCCTTCCACTGGATAACAGAATAAGGAAGGTGAATTCAATGTACTTTCAGTGGGGTGCTACTCCCAAATAAAGCGGACAACAGTAACAAAACAATGATAAAGTATGAATGTGATCACATGTCACTTTAAAGTGACTTGTGTGTGCATAGAGACTGTGCCCCGCCTTTTTAGATGCTAAGTTCCTGGAAGCCCAGCAGTCAGGCAATGCCATTTTGGGGAGATCATGGATGCAACTTGACCGCAGTGAGAACATGAGAACTACGGTATACTTGAAGATCATGCTGGAGACTACACTAAACGTACCGCCCACTTTTTTTTTTTTGTTTTTGTTTTTGTTAGTGACGAGGTTGGGCAGCACTGCTTGGTATATTTACTAAGATTAGTCTGATGGAAAATTTTAAAAATCCTCAAAATATTTTTGCCAAGGGGCCCGACCCCTTCCAGGACAGAGGAGTCCCCTGTCTGTGCAGAGGTTCACAGGCCTGGCCAGGGGACAGCTGAAAAGAGTACACGCTTGAGTTTTCTGAAATCACAGGCTGAATTTACCCAAGTCCACGAGGTACTAGCTCTAAGGAAAAGGCCCGAAATCGGTGTCTAGCAGCTGTTTGGCTTTTCAGTGAGAGCCAGAATTGCTCCTTAGGTCACCTTTGGTGTTAGTTGATCTCTGGATCCATAAAGCAGAACGGAATGTTTGTTTCCTGAATTTCACACACAAATAATTAAAGGTCCATCTTCCAGGACCTTTATACACAGACATACCTTCCTCATCAGCTGGGCACGTGGCGCCTCCCCTTTCCATTCTCTTGCACAGTAACTGAGCAAATCAACTTCCGCCTCCACACTGAGGTTCCCTGGACCAAGTAAAAAATAAAAGGTAGTTAATTTCCCCTTTCCTCCTCCTGCATGGACCCTCTCTGCATCTTAAAAATAAGGAAATATGTGCGTGAAAATATTTACTTTTGAATTTTCTCTGCAGATATCCAATCCACCTAAAAGGTAAAGGAAACCATAATATCAAAATTCTACCTTGAATAAAAAGGGTGTTTTAAAAATGTAAACATGATACAACCACCTACCATTTCAGCCGGTGCCCTAAATATAAATGCAGCCTTCGGAAGTAGCAGAGGGCGGCCACCAGAAACGAAACTGCCACCATCACAGAGCCCTTCGCTATTCTCCATGCCGCATCTAAAGCATGGCTCGTGAGTAGTGTCCAAGAGTGAACTTGGTCATTTCCTACAAAAATTTAAACAGTTAAAAAAAAATCACATCACAATTACACAAACCTGCTTTGTTTAAGGGGAAAAAAAGATATACTGGATAATTTTTATCTGCACAGTATCTATCACTGATTTACATACACATTTTTTAAAGCATTCCAAAATTAAAGAAACGCCTGGTTCTCCTATACCCAGTGTCATATACCAGAATATGTTTGTTCCCCAAATTCAAGAGGAATCATGAACATAAAGCGTGTGGGTTTCAGAATCCCTCAAACCTGAACTGAAAACCTGCTTCTCCTGCTTATGCAGCCGTGTGGCTGTGGGAAACCTCACTTCTCTTATCCCGAGTTGTCTTGACTGTAAAATGGGGGTAAAATACTGACCTCACTGGGGAAGGGCGGAAAGCAGGACTTAAGAACCAACCCTGTGCTGAGTATCTGTTGAGTCCAACAAGGATGCCAAGGGTTCTGCTCGGCATGGCACCGAGCACACGGTGGGGTGGGGGGAGCAATCACACCAGGGCCTCTTGCGATGCCACCACCATCCACTTCTGCCCTCTCTGATACTCTGAAATCAGCATGGGCCAGAACATACGGCATCACCTTACCACATGGAACAGGTGACTCAGACAAGCAGGCACAGACATCATTTCCAGAGAGCGGTCCACTTAGAAGAAGGCTGGCGCCATGGCGATGCTATGATGTACACTCCCCTTCCTGACTTGACAAGGGGGAATGAACCGGGCTGGAGAGCTCAAACTGCGGACTTGCAATCGTTTATTGTGTGCAGTAGGTTCCTAATCATATTTTGCTTGAGCACGCAAAATGATGAAGTACAAATGAGGAAGAGGGCTTCTGGACAATGGCCAAACCTGGGGTCCACAGGACGTGGTTGAGGAACGTTCCAGTGCTTAACTGCAGTAAAAGCCTCATTAACTTAGAATCTACACTTTTAGCATTTTTGATCATCTGTGGTGTGCATGTACACTCTCAATAAAGAGTTTACCAGCAGATAAAGAAACCAAGAAAGGTACCAGAAAATAAAAATACATAGACTTTTGGGCTGGCCAAGTGGCTCAGTTGGTAAAGAGCTCGCTCAAGAGTGTGAGCTCTGAGCAACAGCGGATCAATTCCCGGCCCAAGCTGAGTTGCCAACAGGTGGCAGGATGGCTCAGCTAAAAAAAAAAAAAAATACATATACTTTTATTTTACTATTGAAAACAACATTTTCAAACACAGGGGCTTATTGTTTAGAACTGATTAGGTATTCATTATAGATTTATTCCCACTTAGACATTTAATAAAACTTTTTATAAATTGTTTAAAAATGTAGAGCCATACTACCTTTACACATATAATTTAGGCTTTTATTACTTTAGTCTGGTTTCCCAACTTTGAAAATTCTGACACATGCAAATATTTTTAGTAAATGCTTAAATTCATGGAAGAACTAGAATTTTCTCTATGTGATATACATAATTTCTTCTATTGTAATCATAAACATTTTCTAGAAAAATGGAATATTGCACGATTTTACAGTTTGTTTTTACTCTTCATATCAACTCCACATCAAATTATAAGTTGGATCTCTTTTTAGGTCACTACATACATAGATCTATGCTATTCTTTTTAAAGAATGTGTAATATTTCAGTATAAAGCTAGACCATCATATACATAATCATTGCCTTACTGATACGAAATTGATAATTTCCATTTTTCACTCTCACAAATATGGCTGAGACAAACATTCTCTTCCAGCAGCCCCTGTGACTCATGGTAGCTTTTAGGATAATTTCAAGAAGAGGAAACTCTGGGTCAGAGGTGTGCACAGCTTTGGTTTTGACAGGTGTCACCAAAGTGCCTTCTAAAACAACACTGCCAATTAACACTCCCCCACCCCCATGTTCGAGGGCGTCTATTTCCCTGAGTCCCCACCCTGGTTATGATTCCTCACTGCTCTCTGCACTTCCGTGTATCACGCTCACATTTCTTCCCTTGTGAAGAGCCTCTTGGAACCTCTGCCTACTTCCTGCTGGGTGGTGCTCGTCTGTGTGGACTTTGCAGTCTCTGAGGGGGGCCTGGCTGCTGCCCCCTCGGTGGGGCACTGCTCTCATTTGTCACAGACTCCTTCCACCTGCTGCATTCCTTTAAGTTACCACCTGGTCCCTCGGGCATTTGATTTGAGGCCCGAACCAGGGCCTTCTCCAGAGCATGAGGCCTTCTCTCCACTGGGACCCACTGCAGCTTATGGTTCTCCCCACTCCTCCTCCCTCCCTCCCTCCCTCCCTCCCTCCCTCCCTCTCTCTCTTCCCTAGCCTACTGCCCATAGCCTCAAAATGAAATCCCTCCTACAACCCAAGAAAGGGTGATAGGATCAACTTATCAGAAAAACACACATGAGGTTCGATCCCCCCTCCCCATGCAAGCCTACAACACAAGCCTGCACTCCCGACCACCCTCCACCTAATGTGCCCGCAGGTTTTGGTCAAGTAACTCAAACCACGAAGAGCCAGGGAGCATAGCCTTGGGGGCTGGTGCGGGTCCCAGGGAGCAATCTGTGGGTGGCACTCATGGAATCACACGAGAACAGGCTGCCCCATTCACTCCCTGCGGCTCTAGCCTGGCTGCACAGCCACATCCCAGATCTCGTGGATGTGACACAAAAGCCCCTTCCTGGTAAGAATACCCACCGCGCCGAGGTGCTCACGGGTGATAATATCAGGAGTAGGGCTTCCAGGTCAAAGGACAGGAGGAAGGAAGTAGTTTTGGTAGGAAGAAGGATGGCTCCACTGACCATTAACACAGCTAGTTTGAGCTTTTGCTATGTGCCAGACCCTGTGTGAAGAGTTTGACAGGGATTCTCTCACTTGCTCCTGCAAACACTGCCGGGGTGTGAGGGGGCCCTGGAGCCCCACGGCGTGGGTCACATCCCAGCCCTGCCCATTCACTGGGCAAGTGACTTCATCGCCCTCAGCTTCTGTTTCTTAACCTAGTGCTGGACATGGCCCATCACAGTGCCTGGGACAGAGAGAGGGCTTGGTGCATGCTCACTGTTACTATGGTTACTGTGTGATGACCGGGAATCCTAGGAGTATCTGCTCCCGTGGAGCTGCTGTGTCAGGTGAAAGACATATTGGGAAAGCGCTGAGATTGCCATCTGGCTTACCATAAGTACCCAGGAAATGGTCCTTATTATTTTTATTGCTATTACTCCAATCACCCTTACTTTGCAGGTGAGGAAACTACAAGAGAGAGAGATGTAACAAGTGGTCAAAGCGGAATTCAGAGATGGAGTGCCGTGATGCCAGCAGCTGCGGGCCTCACCGCCCGCCTATCCTGGGTTGTGCAGCTGAGGAAATCTTCAAATCAGCTTTGCTACAGGGAGGGCGTGCAGACTTTAAAAGGAGAAATAAAAAAATTTCTTCCTGCATGTGTCAATAACTGGAGGACAACTCAAAAACAGCAGACAGAGAAGACCACAAACGAGGAGCCTAGCAAAACACTATCCTGATCAGAACTTTGATCTCGTGAGTCAAATCTCATTTCCCCCAATACAGCAGAGAGCAGATAAAATTTTCCATGTCAGAATCTTCGTGGGGTCCCCCTTCTGCCAGCACGCCAATGGCCCACCTACTCCCCCTCCCCCCCTCCCGCCCCAGAGAAGCCCTCTGCGGAACAGGGAACTGGCCTCATGAGATGCTGATGGGACTAGTAGGAAGGGAGAGAAGGTTCTACCACCAGGGATTCGGTCATTCAACATAATAAAAAGACAAGTGAGAACAAGAGCAACAAACAAAGGGAATGTAGATGGCAGGAGGTTTTGGCAACAAAAAATCTCCAGAAAGCCAGGGCTACAAGTGACAGAAAACAAAAGCACTGCCAGGAATTACGGATTTGGTCCTTTTCAACGGTCATCAAGCATCAAAAAAAAATAAATTTCTTTTGAATCCTTTTGGACTGGACCACTTGGGTGGTGGCTGCAGTGCGGCTCTATGTAAAGCCCTGCGCACGTCTATTCTATTGCAAAGTGCACTAAGTGGGTCTCATACATCCCTAGACATCAGCACTGAGATCTGCCCAGAGACCCCAGCCCATACCATCAGAAGTAATACTCAGGTAGTCAAGATGTCCCCCAGGAATGACATCAGGACCTCCTGAAATCAACAACGTGGCTATCTGAAACTAAAATCTGATCTGTGATCACTCAGATCACATGGGGCCACTGACTAGAACTGAAAAAAAAAGACACCATTTTTTGTGGTAAAATTCTACTTAGAATTTTTTTTCCATTCTCTAAACTATACCCAAGCTGAAATAATTCAAACATTCAAACAGGAAGCTGAAAAGAAAAAAACAAAAAACCTGAAAACAAAACTAAAAGACACTGAAGAGCCGGAAACAGAGTGAGTATGCAGATGGCAGTCCTACAGGGAACCCGAGGCTCATGCTCATGGAAACTCCTCAATGTCTGGTTTCGCCTCCGAAACTCCTGGGGGTGTTCCCAATCAGACCGCGTACCCTTTACTACCTCTGCTCCCCCACGGGTGCCCGCACTGTGTCACCTAGCTCGTCCCAATCTTACAAATGGCGCAGCATCAGATTGGGGTGCTTCCTCTCCACACAGCTCCCCTGTCACCTGTGTCCAGCCCGCTGACCTCCTAATACAGAGGTGATGGATCAAGGGCTATCGCGTGGGCCCCAAAGGGGAAAATGAGGCCTGAGCTAAAAGACATGAGGGCACTTTAATTTAGATGTCTGAGAGAGCAGAAGGAATGAAGACATATACATGCATTAAAATCACCTTGTTAAAAAAAATGTAAGGTAAAAAATACTAAATTTCATTTAATAAACGCAACAGGTACTTCTATCTGCTGCAATGGCATCTTTTGGTACATCAGCAGGGGATGGAAGAGTGGCCGAGAGAGACGGGTGGACTGGGGAGCACGGAGGGGAAGGCGGCCAGCCCCTGACAACTGTACCCTCTCCCTGAGGCAAGAGGACAGGGGATGGGGTGGGTGTAAAGGGGAGGACACAGAAGTGTCAGAGGTGTCGGGTACACTTTTCACCCTGTTCTGGGCTGTGTCGTGCGTGGACACCACTCGCTCTGAAAAAGTGAATGTGGCTTTCGAATAATTCTGATCAAGGGCGGAAAGCGCTGCAGAGGAGTAAGCGGAGGCCAAGAGGGATGGGGGCAGGGAAGGGTCTGGAAAGACCTTCCTCCCCGCGCCGCCCCCTTTGTTTACACTTCTTTTTCCCAGGGGGGCTGGTAGGCAGTGAAGTGACGTGAAAGACACACGGCCTGCCCCGGGGAGCCCGTGGTCTGGTTATATGATATAATGCCCTCCCGTCAGGAAGGGCCACCGGTCAGCTTGTCCAGGCCCACAGGGCCACAAGCCGCGCTCCCGCGGGTCAGCACATCCTGGTGTCAACGTCTGGCCAGGACGCAGGCTAACACAGACCCTATGAGCTGGACGCCCAGGGGCAGGCAGACCTCCATTTCCTAGTGGGTCCCCTTTCTCAGAGGTTAGTTCTGAGAAACTCAGAGGCGCAAGAATACAGCAAAATATCGTCCATTAGCCCAAACAAATAAACTCAGCTACATGCCAACAGAACGATCAACATGCAGAACAAATCCTGTTAGGTCAAGAAGGTTCCTAAATAATTTGGAGCTCTGGCAGGCGACGAGGGCTTTCGAAACGCGCAGCACCGCGGTGTGAAGGGCTGGGTCTATGTTCAGCGGTCACGGTTCTTGCAAAACCATAGGGTACTTGGTTGTTTGTCTAGCAGTTATGGGGGAGATATTCAGAAAACATATTCTCTTAATAAATCTTTGAAATGATGAGGTCG